CTGGCTACATACGGTAGCCCATGGCAACCCACTGCCACAGGGGCTGCAGCCTACGCCGTCGCTGGCAACTCACGGCAGCCCAGCTCCAGGTTGTTCAGCATCTTAGCTGTAGAGGGCAGTGTCACTGGCCCTCATATGTGGGATCCGAACCACGGTCCTCTGGTGTCCCAAGCCAGTTCTTAACCATCGCGCCACTCGGCGGGCCCTACAACACTTTTGATCTATACAATGTGAGGTGTCAAATATATTTCAACAAAATGAAAATAAAACTAAAATTAAGGAAGGATATAGAGACATATGTCTAATATAACGTTTTTAGCAAGATGGTGAGTTAATAAAGCAATGAGTAACTAAATTTTATTGTATCATTTTCATGTATACAATACTCAGCTAGAAAATATCATTAAAATTATATCATAGAAAAATTTTTATACAAATTCACAAATATCTTTTATATGATTTTTAAAAACTATTATGATACACACTATCTAATTTTGATGTTCCACTTTGTCTCCACTTAACACATGTAATATGGCTGTGTCACGATTATATTCTAGTGATATTTTCCCTAGAATTATGGAATAGCTGAACTTCTGCTCTGAGAAGTGCCTCTTCTCAGATATACCTGTCACTTCAACAGGAAAACAGAACCAAGAAATTTATGCAATTTGCAGGTTTCTGATGTTTCATTTTAATTCTTTCTGGGGTTTATTACAGTTCATTTATTACAGTTCATTCATTCACTCATCCATTACTTATTCATTAAAAAACTTATTTTTGACCACCTATTCTATAGGCCGGCTTATAGGTCTTGGGAATGAGCAGTAACCAAAAGAGACATGATCCTCACTTTTCTGATGCTTCCATTGTGCTGGAAAAGAATCTTGAGAAAAAAACAAATCAGATGTGGAAATGATTTATTTTGAAGTTTAGAAAATGTTGAAATTTCATAACCCAAGAATTCATGCAGTCAAGTAGAATTTAAGTTGTTGAGCAAGATTATACAATTTTTTCTTGTAATAAACTTCCTATCAATTAATATGCCAATACTATTTCTCCAATTTTATCATTCTCCAAAGATTACAATAAAAGATCTTTAAGAAATCCCAATAATCATTATATAGACTTAATCGATGCCATTTTGATATATGCATAAATGTTCATTGAATTATATACCATAATTGCTTTCCTATTCATATAGTGAGTATTTTTTCATATGGGGAAAATTTGAGTCTTCTTATCTAAAGTGTAAAAGGAACTTTAAGGATGGAAGATGTAGGAGATGTTTGGCAATTTGAGGGCCAGGGGTGGTAGAGGAGAAACTGAAATGCATGGTATTAGATCTCAATGGCAAAAACGATCTCCTTAATTCAAAAACTAGAAAAAAAATGACTTTCCTAATAGCAGGAAATTTTATACGAGCATTTTAAGGTCACGGTCATGTTTCCTTCATCTTTATCTCTATGGTAGAATTTTTTTTCTAAGCTTTTCACCTACTTGTATAAATTTAAATAAATATTCTTTAGTACTGTTTATTGTACACATATACAGAATTTACTCTAAATTTGTTTGTCATTCTTGTATTGTGTACACTTTTCTTAACAAAAGTTCTGATTGCCCTCTATTAACCATGGAGTAAGAATTCATGAAGGAAAAAAAAATCTATGTCAAACATCTATCCAAGGTCCTGACACTGTAATCAAAACACACTGTGGCTCAATTGACCATGAAATATAACAATGATTTCCTGAAATAAGTTGTCAGTTATTAAAAAGGCATAAATATAGATCATACATTCCTCAGTTGGAGCATGATAACATAGACTATGTATGTGAAATATACATGGCTTCATATACTGAGGAATTTCTCAAATATTTTGTATAATTAGAATGTTTATCTGAAAAGAATTGGTTAAGTGTATGTTATTTCCAATTGTTCTTATATTTTTCATACATACACACGTGTGTGTACTTTTATTTGGTAATCTTAGGTAACTTTTCTGGGCAAACCTTTTGAAATTATCCAGTTAAATACACTATGAAAAACCCACTAGGAAGAATAAAATGTTACAATCACCATCACTTTGTTTTCTGCTAGAACAAAAAACGATGCCTGTTTTATTGATTTGTGGTGTTGAAGGTTTCCATTCTTTCAGTCAGCACCTCACCAGTCGCCTTGCAGCTGCCAACTCGAATGCTCCTGCGCACTGATGCTTTGAAGTCATAAGGAAGTGTCTTGGAATGCTAAAACCCGAGGGAATGATCTCGGTAAAACTTCCTTATCCGGTGGTCTCGGAATGCTGAGTCCATCCTGGGGATCATATTTATGTGTGAAAGCACAACTCGTGCTTGATCACAATGAGTTTTGCTGAAGCAGCTGCCAATCTAATCAAATCAATTAACGTCATAGATATTCAAATCGACTTCTTTGTGGCAGTTGTAAATAAAAGCTATGCGCCCGCCAGTATCAGGGCTCTCTCTGTACGCTCTGCGGAGAGGAGACCCCTAGCCCACAGAAGCTCTACTTTTCACTCTTAAATTTCTTAACCCTTCGCCGCCCCTCCTCAAGCTCCCCAGCCCTTGTCACGCAGGACGTGATACTCACCTGCCATAAAAGTGAGAGAAAGTCCTGTTTTAGCTTCTTGTTTCCCCAAATCAGGACAAATGAATGACCTGAATGATAGAGAGCTGCAAGGACATGGCCACAATGGACGATTAATTCAATCTGCAGACTTTCAGAACTCCAAACAGAGATGATTAGAACCAGGATGTAAAAAGCAAAAAGCAAGAGAAAGGAGATCACAATTTGCATGGCTCTTATGTGGACCTTGGTGCTGGGATCTTGGGATCCTTTGCCACAGAGCTGCATGTTTTTGAGATGTTTCCACAGGGAAAAGATTAACAGCACAAAACATGTCAGGGACATGGTAAAAGGTATGACGTTTCCTAGTGTGAATAGAGCCATATCTGTAAAGTGCATGATGTCCATCAATTTTGTCTTCCAAGTGATATTTCCTTTATATTCATTTATTGACATATTTGTATTTATGTTTACGAATGCAAGATGAAAAACCAAGAAGACCAAATTTCCCAAGAATATTATGAGAATTACTCTTTTAACTTTCTGCTTTAGGTGAAGAAACAGAAGGCTAGAGAAATTGGCTATCTTGAGCAAATAAAGCACGCTAAGGCTAGTAGCAAACCAGAGGCTCAAATGGTTGCTTGCTGTCCAGGCCATGTAAATAATAACTCTTACTTCTATATTATTTAAAGCTGGATTATAAACATGTCCATACCAATATATTACTAATGTCCAGAGCAAACTAACCCTGGAGACCGCCAAACCAGTAAGAATTTGATGAGCCGTGGAAATCTTTTGTCTCTTGACCCAGTCAATGCAGTTCACCAGTGCTATGAAGCCATTGGCAAAATTTCCAAGAACAAATTGTGTTATTATTAAGATGGAAAAAAAGATCTGTAGTAAACTTATCATGTCTACAGAAAAGAAAATCCAAATCTAATATCAATGTTCATGAAACCTTCAATGTTCTGACCTTAAGTCCTGTGTACAGCTGATCTTGAATGTGCATAAACTTCTTGTCTTCTTTAAATTCTGTGACCAACGTCAAGCAGGAAAATGCCAGAATATGCTAATCGAGGACTTCAATGTTGTCTTTATGAAAAACACTATTATTCCCCCAACAGTTCAAACTAAGTCCTATTCATATACTTGATGTCCTCCTGTAGGCTGGAACATTTCATAACAAATGTTGAAGTGAAAGCTGAATTTTCATTTGCTAGCATGCAAATNCCTGAAGTTCAAGCTGAATAATATTCAATGTCAACTGTAACTTAATAAACACACACAAACACGTGCGCGCGTGCACACACACACACGAGGTCAGACACTTAAGTTTATGAACTCATTTTTGAAAAAGTGCTACATCCTTATTGTTGAATATCACTATAGTCACCTTTGAAGTACTCCCCTTGCGAAGCTATGCACTGACACCAGCACCTAGTCCACCCTTAAAAGCAGTTGGAACACTTTTTCTGGAATGGCCATCAAAGCAGTTCTCAGATTATACTTGATGTCCTCAATTTCATCAAAATGTCTTCCTTTCAATATTTCCTTATCTTCGGGTAAAGAAAAAGTCACTGGGGCCAAGATCAGGTGAGTAGGGAAAGGGTTCGGAAAAGTTTTTTGTTTTCCTGGCAAAAAACTCCCCCAAAGCCAGTGCCAAGTGAGCTGGTGCATTGTCATGATACAAGAGCCATGAATTGTTGGCGAAAAGCTCTGGTCGCCTAACTTTTTCATGCAGCCTTTTCAGCACTTCCAAATAGTTAACTTGGTTAACTGTTGGTCCACTTGGTAGAAATTCATAATGAATAATCCCTCTGATGTCAAAAATGGTTAGCAACATCCTTGCAATAAGTTTGTGAACTTAATTGTCCATCTCATATACCACATTTGAGGATATTGCTCTGACCCATTTATGGAGTTTCCCTAAAGCCTACTGGTTTCCAGTGGAGTCCAGAGCAAGAAAGGGCTCTAGAACAGGTTTAGGCTGCGGTCCTCGCTGCTCTCCATTGGGTCAGATGAGTCAGCAGGTTCAGAGCTCCTAGAGACATTTTTACAGGGCGTGAACATGGTATATCTTACTGAAAGTCCCATGAGAGAGTGGGAGAGTGAACCTCTGGTGAATTAGTGCAAGGTCATCCTCTCATGGGAGGAGGACAGCCCTCTGTTTGAAAATCAAAATGGATAGAGCACATCACTAACCAAGCTTGGAAGCCCTCTAAGTGTGAGGCCATTACAAGTGCACAGATAGCATATTTGTTAAGCTAGCCATAATTGGAGGGCATGAGTACATGTGAGTGGCATGGAGGGGTAGATGTGGACTGTATGAGACACCAATTTGTGTGCTTCCTCAGAGTCCTTCACTGTCTCCTATTTTTCGGTCACCACCCTGCCAGAGTCAGATCACCTTTCCATTTTGGACTTGAATGTAACACCACATAGTGTGGTATACGATCTGACTTTTAATGGCAACCAAGGGGTAACAGAGATGTCAGCTCTGCTTTGAATAAACCCTGGCCAATGGGAAATAGAAGTCAGGAGGAGCTGAGAAGATACATTCTCTCTCCTCTCTCTCCTCCATTGAATAATGCTGCATATGGTTTCTCC